GTCCAAAGTGGGACCAAAATGGGTCCAAAGTGGGACAAAATCAGACTGACCAAGCACTTTGGTCTCACTTTGGTCCAAAGTGGGACCAAAGTGGGACAAAATCAGACTGACCAAGCACTTTGGTCCCACTTCGGTCCAAAGTGGGACAAAATCAGACTGACCAAGCACTTTGGTCTCACTTTGGTCCAAAGTGGGACCAAAATGGGACAAAATCAGACTGACCAACCACTGCCCAATTCTTTGCAACTATTTCTGGACTAAATCAAGACCCTGACGGACCAACTGTATTTAACCAAAAAAACAATGACGTCTGGTGTGGGGGGGACAGATGTCATATTATCATCACTGAAACATAAATTGAAACTGAAATAGATCTCCTTACTATGGTTGATACTAAATGCAACAGAAAACCCAATTAAAGGCAAAAACAAACAATCCAGGATCTTATGAAATGTTTCCCTAATGTCTGATTCTTCATACTCTTTCACAGAATCACCACTTTTACAGAACATTCAACTTGACGCGTTTCAGAGTGTGAACACACAGAAAAGGAATCAGTCAAATAAACAGTTCCCTAAAGGACTTAAAGTGATTTGAAATATAATCTCTTTTATACATCGCTTTTCTCTTCTGCACCATTGCCCCTCGGATGGCTTTAAAATCCATAATCTTATCAGTTGGTGATAAGGTATTCTGCTGGGTAAAAAAAACAAGATTAATGTTTTTTACAGTCCTGAAAACTTCAAATGGATTGACTCAATGAGATCAGCTCTTCATTTGTCACCATTGTCTCTTTGTCATCCTTTTGATCAACATATCAAATAATGCAGTTAAAAAATACTCTATTGATGCCAAAAGAAAATGAAATGTCGGACGAAGGCGAGAACAGCAGTTTTGTAGAATGGGTTATTGTGTTGTATTTTATTATTATATTTATTATATTTTATCATTATATATACATACATACATATATATATATATATATATATATATATATATATATATAATTTAGAACTGTGTAAAATGACAAATAAAATCTGTCTAAGTCTATTAAAAGGGAGTTTTTCCTCTCCACTGTCGCTACAGACATACTTGGTGTGAGGGATTGCCTTCAAGTCAATGAGTGGATGCAATCAAATGTTTTTCCTTAGATAGAAATCTTTGAATCAGTTTGACTGGATGATCTGGTGAACAGTAAAGTCCCTTGAGATGATGTGTTATGAAATAAACTGAATTGAAATAGGGCTTAGAGTGGACATTTGGACATAGTCAGCTCGTAGCTATGAGGGGAGCAAAATCCGAAAATACCTTTAAAGCCCGATCTTCAAAAGGTTTTTCACTTTCACAGACTGCCACTCTTGTTTTTAAGCAATGCCCTAAACCCCTGATTGCTCCCTGGGTTCTGCACAGTGGCAGCCCACTGCTCCCCAAGAGGCTGGGTTAAATGCAGAGAGTTAATTTCTCCATTGTCAGATCAATAAAGTTCAGTTTATTTATTTATTTTATTACTAAAGAAGAACAACATTTACAAAGGCACGACCTATTACAACAGGCAATTGTTATACAATTAGGGCAAAAAAAACAAGTTAATTTAAATAGCGTTGCATAACAGGTAATGTTTAGTCTGATTTAATGACAAATCAAATCAAACATTATGTTTAACCAAACAGAGAAAACTAGTAAAGAAACAGAGAACCTTTGAAAAAGAAATGAATCTAAAAAAGCCCAAAGCGGCTGCAGGCAGCAGCCACTGACACCTTCAGATGCCGCTTTGCTATTCCAGATCAGGGAAGAACTGATCTGGAATGACAACAAAGAAACAAAAGCTAACACTAATTTTAGCAGCAGTAGTTCCAGGTGAGGAAAACAAAAAGGCTGCATGGCAAGACAGCAGTGAAGTGTCAGACACCTCTCCATCAACAACAGGTAGAAGGACAAAGACTAGATTTAGTCTTCAGGAGGAAAACTATTATTAGTCTTAGCTGTAATTTAGTCATTATGATACGTGATAATTTTAGTCGTTTTTTTTATGTTGCAAAGAAAGTTAACTGTTGCAATTTGGAATAACAACCAAATGACAGCTCTAGCCTAGATGCTACAATAGCTGGATATAAAATGCTGCCCTGCAGTTCATCATTGCTATTGGGCAGAAAACTTTGATATTTAGAACTCAAATACACTCTTTAATGAATTAATGCACTACTTTATAGATTAACGTCTCACAAAAGCTGTGAAAAGAGCAGATCTAGTTCAGTTTATCATGTCAGTTAATATAGTAGAAGGAAAAGCTAACAAAATGTACAATAGAGGAGTAGTTTTAGACATTTAAGGTTTCCATCCCAAAGCAAACACTTCCTGATATACAATGAATTATGAATTACACACAGTTGAATAAAATCTTTTCTTCTTTTTTTAATGACAACTCAAGGAAACATTTACATCATATTTAGATGGATAGAAACGAGAACAATGACGGAGAGAAATGTCCAAAGATCTATGAACTTTGTCATCTGGCTCTTTATGCAAAACTAAACAGAATGCAATGAAATATTTTATTTTGGCCTTCCATTCCATGGCTGAGCTGCCTTCATTCCCAAACACTTTGGTTTTTCTAATAATACAGCCGACTATGGAATATTTTAGATAGAGGAAATTTCACTTCTGGACATGTTGCTCGGGTGGCATTCAATCACTGAGCTCCTGAGAGCGACCCGCCCTCTTCCAACTGTTAGCAAAAGCAGTCTGCATGCCTAGACGCCTTTTTTCTATGGCTGTGGCCATAGAAGTGATTGGAACACCCGACTCCAATGATTCTGATGATTCTGTTGGAGAGCGCTCCACGCAAAGCATTCCTGGATATATCTGCCTCTTCTGAGGCCTTTCTTTTCTTCTCATAAACCTTGTAAAATCCTTTTCCCTTACCACCCTTGGCCATTTTCAAAGAATCACACTGAGAAAGGTGAGCTTCAATGGCTGTCTGAAACCCCAGCTCACCATAGATATATGCCTGAATATGCGCATGCACAGAAAAAGACAGCGAGCACGTAAGAAGGCCTTACTTACATATCACCAGAATGACTGACAATTAGAAGAACCACATTTTTATATGAATCACTTGGAAATGAAAGATCCTCTTCCTTAAGTGTGTGCGTGGGTAACTAATATGTATCATTTATAGAAAAGAAGACGCTACAGCTTACTTACATCAAACAGTCTCTCGACGTAAATCTCCTCGTTGACCTTCTCTCTGAGCATGTCCTGGGAATGACGGATAAATGTAACATAGCTGTCGGCAACATCCATCCCTGGCTTCTGCAAAACAGCAAATCAAAGGAGAGAAAAATAATGATAGTACATTTTAAATGTATGTTCGATTTTTAATTATATATATCTAATTAATTATATTTCACAGAATGGTATAATTATATTTATATATTTCCTACTGGTTAACAGTTTAAAAACAAGTCAAATTTTTTGGTTAAGAATTATGACTTTGGCTCCTCCCCCATAGGAAAAGGTGAATTTGTACACTAAACAACTATATATAGTAGGGATGCACGATATCGGGATTTTGGCCGATATCCGATATCCGATATC